CGTAAATGAGGCAAATAAATCTGCACACTTGTCTGCATGTATATGAGCAGAAATATTTAAAACAAACGAGGTGATCATGGCATTTCCTTGTTAATGTTTGACTGAGTTTATATGATCTTGAACAGAAAACTTGGCATCTGGCTGAGCTTGTTGGTTTCTTTCTGGTTGTGTTTATATGTATTTGCAGATGGGGAAACTACAAGCAAGAAAATAACTTGGTGGAAAATGTAGGTTCTGGATTGTTTAAACTATATTTAAAGCCTGATTGCACCCTGGCCCTTGGAACTCCAGGCATGATCCCTGCTAGTAACTAAAATGATTTGAATGTTATGGGGCAAAGTTATATTTAGTTTGTATTTAGAGAAAGAATAACAACGAAGCACGGGGGGGAGGCAGCTGCATTCTCATCACTTCTTCCCGAGTCATATCCGCAGATGTCAAATCCCACCCTTCTCCTTCAGCCAGAGAATTAAGAAATTATTCTCTCAAATTATTGGGTAGAGGGCAAGGGTGACTTAAGAAAACCTGCCCCCACTGGGCTTGTGTTGAGGTGGGGCTTAACTTTCTGAGCGAGCTCCTTCTGTTCAGACAGACTGTAGAACCAGCTGTGCCCTCTCCACTGTGATAGGGCTTAAAGCAGTGCCCTGTGGCCATGGAGAGCTGCCCTTGCCTGGTGAAAAACTGCAAGAGTTCCCTCTCCCTGGCTAAAAAAATGCCTAAAAATCGTGGATGGAATATCTACCATGCCCATATCGCATGAAAAAATGCTGCAAGATGTAGTTGCTGCGTCCCAAAGATTGGAGATTCTCAGCACTTAAAAAAGGCTGATGTTTCCAAGAATCACTGCCTAATGGCTAAGACATTGTGGGGAACACAGTGTAGGGATTCCTCTACAATTTACACTCAAGGCCAGAGGGCACTTGCTCTCTGCTACTCCACCTTGAAAGGATCCAGTCTGGAGCTTTGACCCCTGAGTGCAGGCACATGACAGTTGACTGGATTCATCCCCCCTAGCCAGAGAGATGATATCTATTAGCATTAATTTTGCATTGGTAAATATATGAAGTCACTATTTTAACAGTTTGGTTTAATGAAATGTTTTCAGGTTTCAGAACAATCCCTTATGGTGTTGCTCTCCAGTTTTTGGGGTGTTGCCTTGCCCACAAACAAGGCAAGAGCAGCGCTATAGTGAGCAGGCATAGGGTATTGCACTCAGTTAGAGCATTTCTGCTCACACATGACACAAAGCTGGAGTCCAGGACGGCAGAGATCGTGACACGGGCTGCTTGGGCAGTAATTTCATCTGCCTTTTAACGCTGCCTTCGAGCACGGGACAGACGCCGGCAGCAGCGAGAGATGGGAAGTCAGTCAGAGCCAGGCTTCAGCCTGTTTTTACCTCCCTGGCAGGTGGAGGTGAAGCAGCAGGTGCTTTCCTGGGATTTTGCCTTGCTGAGCAGCTGTAGATATGTATCCAGCCTGCAGGGCCCGTGTCCTGGGCTGCGCTCCCGCACCGCCGCACTCAGCTGCGAGCACACACGTGCCCCAGCCCTGCAGGGTCAGACACTCCCAAATCAGCGCCTTGGAAGGGCGAACTGGGCACTGCTCTCCTGGCCACCCCGTGACATTTTATGGGCCAGTGCTGGAAGGTGGGGAGCTTCTGTCAGGAGCAGCGCTGCACGCAGGAAGTTGGCGGGCTCAGCATGTTTTTGCTACATCTTTTTGCTCTGTTCATGCAGCAGGAGATGGAACCGCTACAGAGAAACCTTGGACATTAATTTCCAAGAGAACCTGAGTGGTGTTTATTATCTGGATTCAGCGGGGGAAGGTGTTTTTGCCTCAACAGTGTGTGAGGCAGCTCTGTGTCAGTAGCACCCGCTGCTCAGAGGATATTGGAGAAGGGCCTTTTTTCAAAACAAACTTACCCCTCTCTGCTGCCTTCCCTGATGCCTCTGATGGTGCAGAGTGTTGAGATGTGCCAAAGTGTGTCTTGACGGGAAAAGCATTCATCCGTCACTATTGCAGTCCCAGGGCAGGGCTCTACAGATATGTAGTGAAATAAGACCCAATGAATGCCTGTACATGAGAAAGAGGGACAGACATCCGTGATGATATCAATATTTTATTCTTGCTATAACCCAGCTTCAGGAGATCCAGCTACCATTGGCTTACCAGGGCGTCTGAAGCCTCTGGTGTATGTGAAGGTGCTGAATTGTATTATGGTTCTTTGTCAACACAGTAGTAAATTACAGTATTGTAATAATTACCATGGTGCTTGATATTTGCATCAGAACACTGATTCCAGAGAATACTGCTTGAGCAGAACGTTATTAATGCAAAGATGATAGGTAATAAAATGGAAATACTTACAGCACTAAATGAACAGAAACAAGGCCTTATCATCTTTGTCGTAGAGCTGCACACTACTGAGAAGTGCATGCTGTATCTGGAAAAATTCACAGCAAGAAAAAAGAGTGAGGGGTTTTTTATTCCTGTTCCTGAGAAAGCTACTGGAGGAGCTAATGAAGAGCTGCAGTAATGTTTTTAGGCAGAATGACTGTAAGAAACGCACCCTTTTCTAAATGTCATAAAGGTCTGCAGATAGATCCTGTGACAGGGGCTGATCCAACAATTCCTCAGAATGAAAGGTCAGTCAAAGGAAAATGGCATTTAGGAGGACCAAGCTTACCACTGACCCAAACATGTGACAGATCCAGAGGCAACTCTGGAGCCATCAGGAGCACCGCTTGTGCAGGCTGCCCCAGAGAAGCACATGACGTGACTGGGAAACTATCTGATTCCTCCAGGTCTCAAAATTCATCAGGAGTCAACATGAATGTCGGAAGGAAAGGGATTTTGAAGGAGCCTACAGCAGGCTTCCAAGTTGGGAGGAGAGTGCTCTCTCTCCACTGTCCCTGCTTGCCCTGCGCCAAACATTTTTTTTCCCAGTACTAATTATAGATCTGTTTTTGTCATTTGAATATGCATGAAGTAGTGTCCTGGCTCACAAGCAGGTTGCAGTGAACCTACTTTTAAAGTTTGACTTGGTTTGATAGGGCTCTGAGTCAGAAAGAACCTCTCCAAGGGCCAACCCAGAATTTCAACAAGTCTGTGGACTTGTCTGGGCATTTCAGCTCCTTTGCACTGAGTGAGGGCATCATGTAGGGAAATGTAACAGAATCTGGGGGCAGATTCTCACCCAGTGTTTGTGAATTCTACCTTAGCAAAGCCAACACACAGCCCCTCTTCATGGGTGGATTTTCATTTTAAAATATTCAGCAATGCAATTTATGTCAGACCAGCATTCAAAAGGTCTTGGGGGTTATCTCTCCATCCACAGAGATAGTTGGAAGTCTCACAAGGTGAAGAACATAAGGGTGGTTTGGAATTTTTAGAAACACCTGGACAGGCAGGATTTCTCATGGCGTTTGCCAGTTCCCTTGGAGAACAGGAGGATACCATAATGTCTGAGATGCTGTCTCACAGGTGACTGCAGAAGATGTGAAGGGGTGGGTGTTATCTTTTTCTTTGTTATCTTTGTTATCTCTGACTTTTTCAGAATAAGTGCTCTCAAGGTCCTTACTTTGGGTCATTAGGAGTTCATCAGAATTTGACTGTGTCTAAGACCCATTGATTTAACCAGCCTCTTAGTTAAACTCATTTTAAAAAGTTTCAAGCCAGTTCACCACTCTGTTCTCAGCTTGAGCAGCATTTCTTTTCACCAGCAAAGCTCAAAATTAATGGGTGAGATTCAACATGAGTAACTGCAACAGCAGCTCTGGAGTCATTCAGGAGCTGGACTGGATGTACTCCCTTAGTCAGGCTGGAATAATAGGAATTAGTCATGAGGAAATGCAAATATGAGCTCTGTAGTTTATCCCCTGTGGGTCCAATCCTGCAAAACACTAGGAACAGGAGTAAAATATGAGGGAACAGTTCCAAATCCCACAAACATCTTGTGGGTTTTAGGTGCAACTCAGCATCAGCAATCCCTAGCAAAACATTTTGTCCTTGTGCAAGAGCAGGGCACTTATTATCACACCCATTAATAGACTATTCTGGGAAGAGCACTGCTATTGCAATCTGTATAGAGAACTTGTGCAATTAATGAAAAGGCAGAAAAGGCAGATGCAGGAAAAAGACTCAACTTTTTAGAGTCTTGGGAAGGAATTTTAGTTGGAATTCAGCTATGGGAGAATTCCCACTGCTGGAGTCTTTATCACTTCTTTTTTCTGATTGTTGGCCTGTCCAAATGCATCCTGTTATCATGTAGTAAAGTGTTTTTACTCTGACATTCCAGGGACACTCTCTTTTGTATGAAATTATCACCATTAACAAAGAATAAATATTTGTCAGGTGGGTCAAACCATCAGGGTTGCTAAGGAAATTTATAAAAATATCCTCTTTTGGATTATAAGCAATGTTAACATGTCAGGCTAAGCTGTTTCTTTCATTGAAGCATTACCCAATGAATGTTATGTGTTCAACAACTGCAGGCTTATGTGTCTCAGATAGAGCCCATCTGGTGACTATTAAAGGGAATTACTGTACATACAACATGAAAGAATTAAAACATTTGGGGGGTGTGGGGCAGTGTTTTGTTGTAAGTACTGCTCCTGTTACTAATTTTGCCTTCAGAATAGGTGTTAAGTTTAAAACAACTACAGTTTCTTTACCAAACACTCCGGAACAGTTTTTGTGTTGGGCTCCTTCTTGTGACAGGAAAAGGCTGGAAACTTTGGAACAGCAATAGAGCCTCAGAACCAGGCTTCCCTGGTGGGTTAGCATGAGCTGCTGCTGATGGCAAGGCTACAGCTTCAGGTCTTGCTGCAGCCCTCTGTAATAGCTGACAGTTTCAGCCTTGGTTGCGAGTGATTTTTGGTAAGCACCTTCTATTCTGTGTAGCAGTCAGTGTAAAGGCCAGATTGATGACTCGGCTTTGAATCAGTGCTGTGTCACTGGCAAAAGTCATAACAGCTGTTCCTGTCTCTGTTCTTTCCTAGGCCCCCCGAGGATCTCTGATAAAGTGATTCACCGCCAGTCCGTGAGGCTGGGCAGGACCATCAAGCTCCTGTGCCCGGTGGAAGGCGACCCCCCGCCCCTCACCATGTGGATGAAGGACGGACGGACCATCCACAGTGGCTGGACAAGGTTCCGAATCCTTCAGCAAGGGCTGAAAATCAAGGAGGTGGAGAGCGAAGATGCGGGGACCTACATCTGCAAAGCCACCAACGGCTTCGGCAGCACCAACGTGAACTACACCCTCATCGTCATCGGTGAGTGGAGCTGGGGCAAAGCCAGGCCTCACCTGCTCTGGGGCCACAGAGAGAGCTGATTTCCATGTAGCTGTCAGTGATTGCAGATTTGCTTTGCTAATCATTCACTGACCTCCACTCTCAGCTGGCCCCTTCCAGTGTTTGAGGATTGCCGGAGCTGGCTGTGCTGCGGCGCATCTTCTGCTGCAGCTGGCTGCAGGCAGATAAGATTGCAGAGTGCCAAAGGTTACACATAAACAGAAATGATGCAATAGCCACTGGGGTCCTGATCACAATGAATTCCACACAGGAAAGGCTGTGCGATAAGGAGGGGTCACACTGATCTTTATGTTTGCTGTTGGAACAGGATAGCTCTCAAAACAAATGTTGGAGCACCCATATGAAAACACACAGCGGGGAGATCCGTGTGCTGGGCTGTTGTAAAGCATGGTGTCTTCAGGAATAATAATATCTGGGCTGAAACAAAGCTCTGAGCTGGCATGGAACCCAGGGATGCTCGGCTCCTGAGAAATCTTCTTGGTGGAGGCAGGAATTAAAAAAGCTTCAAATGCTATCTCAGTGACTGTGGGTTCACTGGCAGTGCTTTTGACCATTTTCAAAAGGCTTTCTTGGCCCAGCAATGAGATTTTGGGGCCACTTGTTGGGTTGAGTATTCCCAAAGACTTCCAAAGACATTTCTCTGGGTAATCAGAGATTCCTCTGCAGAAGCTGCCACAGAAATGTGCTTATTGGTGCTTGACTGGGAGAAGGAAAAGGACTGGGTAAAAATCAAAAAAAAAGTGTGTTAGAGGATCTTGAGGGAGCCAAGGAGAGGGTTACAAAGCAGGGGGTGAGATCAGATAGCTTGCTCACCTTTTGCCTGATCAGCATCCTGAGCATCTGATCTACAAAGTTCTGTCTCTCTGAGATGGTGGGAGTAAGAACAGAGTTTAGGGCAGCTTCCAGCTGCCTACCAGTTGGCTCTTGGCCTGGTTTTGTTCTGTTTCTCCTTTTTCCTGTTTGCAGCAGGAGGGGAAACTGCTGTGGGCTCAGGGCATGTAGCAGACACTTGGTGCAGCTTGATGGAGGATTATCACCTGATAGCAGGGTGATTCTTGGAGAATGCACTGTGCTGCACAGCCAGTATAAGAAAGGGACCAGAATGTAAATATCTTATCTGGAAAGAGACACTTCTGTCAGGGAAACCCTATGGTGACTCCTATAGAATCAGGGGGATAGAGTTGCAAAACTAATTTTATAGTTTACATAGTTTGAGGATTTGGTTTTCCTTGTTCACCTCTTTCTTAGCCACATTCATCCATTTCTCTGTGCTACACTGAACAAACAGGATGAAGTGGAAACAGTCTGACAGAGTTGTGTCTCTGCAAGTCCTTTTGTATGTGCTTTCCAGACTCCTTGCTGTGGAGAAATGAATGCTATAGGAGACTGCCTCAGTTCAGCTCATGCTTTTGCAGGATGTGGAAGTTGCCAAGGTCTTTGATCTCTTGTGTCATCCTCTATCTTCTGTAAAGCTCAAGCCAGATCCCATTATTCCAGGGTAGAGGCATCAAGGTATCTGTAAGTCAAAGAAGGCTCTGCCTATTCTTGGTAGCACAACAGAAGCAAATGAAAACAAGAAGCCAGGAGGCACAGGGTAAATGTTGGACTAGAATTCAGGAAAGATTGGGACAAAAACTCCAATTCAGTTGCTCAGTTGGGAAACTGGATTATCAAATATAATTGTGTTAAGAACAATAGTATTCATTATATTTGGCACTGAAAAGCCCTGGGCAGAAACACTAGTTATTGAGAGCCTCATCAGGCATCTATGGAAGGAAATGGCAAGCTCCCACTGGCCTCTGTGGGTGTGAGATTGAGCCCTATGCAAACAAATATTGATCCCCGAGTGCCAAGGAAAGGGTAACTTTAACCTAAATCTGTGTCAGACATATGGGCTTTCCTTTCCATGCATCCTTGTTGTAAATACTGGCTAAACCCAGTACTTTTTATGCTATTTTGCACCTTCTTTCTCATCTCACAGTGTGCCCTTGTGCATTCTTGTTGCTCAGACCATTTTTGATGGATTACTTACGTCCCCTGTCTCTAGTGGTACAGTTGTGTTCATGTAGCGTTTCAAACCGATTGCTTTTCACTGGAGCAATTTCCCCTGAAAACAAATGTTCCCCTTGTGTCTTTCCTGTCAAGCTCTGAAAGTAAACACAAGGTATCACTGACTTGCTCTTTCAAAGGACCCAGACATTTAATGCAATGACCAGATGCTCATGTTCGTCTTGGTGAAAATACTTTTGGTTGAGAGAAAATCAATCCCTTGTTGGTTTTCGAGAAGGAGGCAGTGTTTTAAAACCAACTGCATGTCAGTTTGATGACGAAGATCAAATTGATGGAGTTATTTTGTTTGCTCTGGAAAGCACAAAACTTCATTAGGCTTTTTGAACCATATGGCTTCTCTATTTTCCCACTCCTTCAAAGGACAAAAACCCCTCTTATTCCAGCTTTACTGCTAGCACCAAACATGTAAAACCACACAGGTGTCAGACATGAGCAAGGTGGTTAAGATATTAGATCTAGAGCAGCATTAAATGATTCATTAAAGACTAGGACTTACAAGAATATAATTCATATTGACATGAGAGCATTCTGGAAATTTAATCAAAGATATCTGGAAAATATTCAGTAGCTGATTGAAAAGTTTTGGAGTTATGCTGTATAACTCTAACTGAGCTCTGCCACACCACTGGCAAGTGAGGAACTGTCACCCCTGTGTTATTTACATGGAGGCTGCCACAGAATAAGGTGGTTTACCCAAATCCTACAGACAGCTGTGACTAAATTCAGTGGTATCCAGCCCCTCTGCCTGCTTTCACTGCTATGTAACTCCTACTAATCTTAACTTTTACTAGCCACTGTATTCCATAGTAGAAAAGAAGACCAGCAAAAATCTGGGACATTGTACAAAGGAATAAAAAGGTCAGTGGATCCTCCAACAGTGGCGGGTCCAGCAGACACGGCAGAGATGAGCTCCCTGGCTGGACTCTGTGAGATGTAATAATTCAGCTATTAGACTGTTTGAATGTCCCTTTGTGGCTACAGGGCACATCTTGCCAGCTCAGTGCATGAGCAGAGCAGACTTAGGTGTGCCTCTGCATGTCTGGAGACAGGATCTCAGCTTGCCTGGCTGGAGAACCTCTCAGTCTGAAAGTGCAGATGAGATGGATTACGGTGAATTTACAGATGGTAACGGAGACAAAGAGAGACCAGGTGATTAGGCCAAGACCACATAAAATAGGAGCTGAGGCTCAGAGTTGAGTCTAAACCTCTTAAATCCCTCCTTAAAAGACTATTCCTACTTTATAACACATACTAAAGTCTTTTCCTCCTAATCTTGCATCTTCCTAGCTGCTCTTTTGGAAGTGAATCTTCTCCTATTCTAGGGTTTTGATCTTCCTCAAGCAAAGGCTTTGCCAATCCAGATGGTAGCAATTGGTTTCTGCCCTCCTTATTTCCCCATCTTCTCAGACTGCAGGCTCTGGATCCCAGAGATCCAAGGAATCCTGCTCCAATACAGCCCTGCATGAAATGTAAGCCAGTAAAAGCAGATTACCAATATAAGTCAAAACGATAATTTCCTCTCTTAGCTATCCTTAATAGTTTTTGTGGTTCACCACAAGATTTGGGATGCCAATTACACTGCAGACGGATTTACAAATGCTGGAAGAGGAACTTTAATCAGTATTTAATTACATTGCAGTTATTAAGTACAATGGTTCTTTATTTTTGAGAATTTTGTGTGGCTCATCAAAACAAATGTGCTCTACTTCCCCCAAAATTATATTTACAATGATGCCAATTAAATCTTATATTTTTTTCCTCAACTGAATTAATTCTAAAGGTGTGAAAAGTAACTTTATTTAATTTATAGATGGTTGGTTGAAGCCTGCGGTTTCTTTACTGCATAATTAAAAAATTCCTTGCCAGTGTGCTCTAAAAAGAAACTTAAGGCCAAAGAGGAAGAAAGAAAGTGCTGAATAGCTACACCTTATTTGAAAACTGTCCACCTTGTGTGCTGAAGGGAGGCATGTTCTGCAGAAAAAAAAATAGCAGGTGGTGGTGTAACTGATGCCTCTGTCGAGTTTGGCCAGCTTGGCCAAACTGTGAGTTTGCACACATGGAGCCACACTCCAGCCATCAGGCCCTCCCTGGGAAAACTTAGCCTCAATGGGTGAGCTTTTCCCAACTCAAAAATAACTGAGAAAACAAAGTATTCTAACATGGAAGTGCTGGAGGGCCTCCATTACTGCTCTCTCTGCAATAATAAACACTATCCCGAGTTCCAGGAGTCTGGACATTCTCTGAAGGGAAAATTGTTTGTGAACAGCTGTAGGAAAGACTATAGGTAAATATTTATGCTGTAACATAATGACCTCTTTCAGTGATACACAACACAGAGGACTTTTCACTTGCAGAAGTGTTGTAGGCCAAATCCTGCAAGGTGTGCCAGCATTACAACATGTGGGGCTATTGCTACAGGTGCTGCCAGTAAATACTTCTTGCATTAGTTTCTCAACCAGGTGATGAAAGATCAAACTGTCTCTATTTTCACATCTGCATCCATGTTTCTTACTGCTTTCTGTAGCAAAGGAAAAAAAAGGCAGCAACAAGAGCTGGGTTTGGGACTGGCAGCTTCTTGCTTCACTTGGTGTTTGTAAACTGCCAAGGACTCATCTTGCTTGGGTGCATCTCAGCACAAAAAATAATCAAAATCTGAGTCCAAGAAACAGCTTCTCCTGAATTTATTTTTCTTGCCCTATATCTCTGACTGCTGCAGTTGTTTATTTTGTTCTTTGGGGTTTTTTGTTCCTAAACCACTGCTCAGAATTTGAGCTACATCTCACTTTCAGACAAATCAAGTTTGCTGTTAAATGTCTGCTGTCTGTCTATTGCAATTGATTGCTTCAAGAATCTGCCCTGACATCGGATGATTTATCTTTAAAGCAGCTTTT